GACGCAGGGTAGCACTCACAGCCCTTCCCCATCCCCTGGAGGAGAGCAACTTGGCAAGCCAGCACCTGCACTGCCGGCTCACAGGTGCCACCAGGTCTACACCCCATACATACCCCTGGGGCCCTCGACAAATGGTCACAGCACCCCACGACGCACCGGCTGTCCCTACGTGCTCCAGCCTGCTTCACCGGCAGTCCGAGCCAACAGCCTCCTGGGATACTTTGATCCTCAAGCTCCCCACTGCCAAGATGCGAGGCTGGGAGAGCCACCAAGCCAGCAGAGCAACATTTCTCCCCTGCTGCAGGCTCCTTGACGTGCCAGGACATCCCCCACAGCTCCCCTCCCGCTCCCTGCGGATGGAGCAGAGGCACACGGCCACGCCGCGCAAGAGAGCTAATGAAACCACCTTGTTACCCCAAAGGAGCCCGGCAAGGCAACACTGTGAGCTGACGAGCTTATCTGCATACGGGCATTAATTTCAGCGCAAACCCCAGGTGCGGGAGGGCTGGGGGCACAAGACCACGGCTCGCAGCCTGCCTGTCCCCCACAGCTTTTATGGGTAGGCTCAGAGCTGCAGCGGGAAGGTTGGTTTGATGGCGGCTGGAGCCAAAACCCACTCACCTCCTCCCCAAAGAGCTGGTAAACGCAAAACCAAGAGCTCAAGTTGCTCCTGCTCCAGAGCCCGAGGCCACAGGTGTCTCTGCAAGCAGGAGATCCCAAAAATATACCAGCCGCTGCATTGAGAAGCGTATTGCAGCTGGGAAGTCAAGCAGCAGCAGGCTACGGGATTAGCGCTGCACGTGGAAGTTCAAAAACAGGCACACGAAGTGTGGGCAGAGCCCGTTACACAACCAAATGCTGCCTCCACCTTTGCTCAGCCTTCCTTTGAAGCAGCATCTCCAGAGCCTGGGCTCGCTAACCTGTCCTTGCTACAAGGCAGGAGCCTGTTTCTTCCTCCTAACAGCCCCCAGATGTTTCTCTCCTTTTGATCGGCCACATTTGCGCAGCTCTTCATGACAAGCAGGACTGCACCGGCATCGCCAAGAGCCGACCGTGGCCAGCAGCACTTCCTCTTTTGCCAAAAATCACAAGGGAAGAACCCAGTTTCTCCAGGTCTGTCAAGAAATCCTCCGTGGCAGGGCCGGGAGGAGAGGCAGCACTGAGATCCACACCCTTCGCAAAATTAAAAAACACGGGCAGTGGGTAAATACTGCTTGCCAGCACAGCGTAGCTACAGGAGGACCACGCTCCCATAACCATGCTGACTCACTTGCGAGGGCTTCTGGAGAGCAGATAAGCCACGAGAAGAGGCTGTGAAACTTTTCATCAGAAATTTGGGAGCCCCAAGAAAAGTTGCGTAGTGCCAAGGCTGCGTGCAGTCACGTGCAGCTCCCTAGAGCTACCAGAAGCATGGATAAGACAGACAGCTTTCGAGGAAAACCTTGCTCCTGGGTGTTTCTCAGGCTCATACAGGAGACGGTGATCAGTGCCATGGGGAAACTGGTCTGAGGTCAGGCAGGTTCCCTATGTGACAACATACAACACCACAACCCACTCCCAAAGCACACGGATGGGGGAATGTGATCAGCAGCTTGCTTGGACTAAGAGGTGATGTGGCCAGGACCAGCTCCCATCCTTTGGCCAGGGCAGCTCTCACCACCACCATGTCCCGAGGTCTCTCCTACCTCCCTCTGCCACTCCGTGGGTCACATTTCTGATCTATCCCTGAAATGAGAGATTTGGAGGCTGGCTGAGTTGGTTGAGACAGCTCCACATGAGTGATAGCATCTTGTGCAAGGTCTCCTGCGTGTTCATCTGCTCTTCGGAGGGCCAGAGACTGCTCGGTTACAAGAGAAAACACCTCTGTCAGCAGGGAGAGATTCAGCGCAAGAATGAACAGATCTGTCATACTTAAGACTTTAATGTCACCTCCATAAACATCTGAGAACCATCAGCCACAGTTAAGCTGCCGGGGGAGCGAGCTCCAGCCTACCAGGGACCCGCATTTCATCACTTGGACAAGCAAAAAAAAGGAAGGCAGAATCCTCCACACAGATGTTTTTTTTCCCCTCAGTTTACCATCAAGATTTGCAAATTGCTAACAGAGAAGCCTTTTGGCAAAGCAGAGCCAGCCTCTGCCTTGTGTTCAATCAGCGACCACATCCCTGTCCGGGGGAGCCTCAGCTCCCCGAAGGCTGCAGGCTCCTAAGACTCAACTCACGCAAGCACGGGACAGCCTTAAACCTCTGGCTAAGCCACGAAGCAGCATTACAGCCCCGGCGGGGTGAAGCCAGCCTCCGGCCCCCTTCAGAAGCCCTGGAAATTAGCAGGACGCAAGGGGGCTTAAACTCAGGAAATTTTATTAGACCGGCTCAAACCAAGGAGACCTTCCTTAGCTCCTTCCTGGCTAATAGAACCTCTTGTCCCTCCGTCCACCCCTCTTCGCCCAGGGCAGCGCTGCTGCCCCATCCCCTCTGGGTACTGCCTCGTCCTCCCCTCCCTGCCCCACCGCCCCTGCCAGCGGGGTGGACAAAGGGCAAACCTCACAGGCTCAGCTCCGAGGAACGAACTGGACTGCATCCAGCCTCCTCTGTGGAGAGCGAGCGGAGCCGTTTGGAAACGGGACAGAAAACAGCTTGTTTCTGTTCCCTGCCAAAGCCGAAGGAACGAATGGGGCTGGCTGCGGTTTAGCGGTTCATCCCAGGTCAATGCACAGGCCGCTTGCGTTTGGGGAGCTCTGTTGAGAGTCAGCTTCAGTTGAATCCAACGGGAGGCTGGAAGGCTTCCCGATGGACGTTCGTTGGCATGACAGGAGCCTCCCTGCCTGCCAAAGGCCCCTTCTTGAGGAAGCGCAGGCCAAAAATTGGAGGCTGGTAGCAGAAAGGAGAAACAAGGGGAGCAATAAATCGCAGGATGGATCTGCAAGAAGAAGCCAGGCTGGAGAGGGAGCTTGAAGAAAAGCAGCATTTCAGAAAACAGCCTGAAAGCCTCTTCATCTTCCTTCCAAGGCTGCAGCTCTTTTCCTGCAGCGCCCAACGAGGGGGGAAAGGCTCTTCCCGACGCACGTCCCTTTTTGCTCCATCCAGAAAGGCGCGATCCAACTTTGTACATACTAACAGTCAGGGAGCGAGAGCCCACATGCATCCTCGCCTGGGGCTCTGGGAGCAGAGCCCTGGACAGACGCCAGGCGACGACAGCTCTTCCTGCAAGTTCTGCCCTGCAAGCCCGGACGGCAGTGTCCTATCCATTAGGACGGATGCAAAAGCAAACCCTGTTCAAATGGGATTTGAGCTCCGCGCCAGGCTGGGCTCAAGGATAGCTCAGCTGCCTAAAGCCACCGCTCAACCAGCACTTCGCATGGATTGGGACCGACCGAGTCACCCCCAGCACACCCCAAAAGAGCGCTCTTCCCCTCTTTGTTCGTTCTTATCTGTGAGAAAATCCCTCTTGGGAGGGTGCCAGGAGGAGCCTGGGTTTGTGCTGGCAGAGATCTTCATCTGGGACGTGGTGGTGTTACCGAGCCATTGTATGTTGCAAGCTCTTGAGCAGCACCTTGCTCCCAGCAAGCCCCCAAACTACCCCAACACAGCTCGTCATGCTTGGAAGACCTGCCGTATTTTGATGCAGGAGGAGCTCCAGGAGTCAGATCGCTTCTCAGCTAAAAACCATAGACGAGGAAGTAGTAAATTAAAGGGAGAAGGGCAAAGCAACAGGCAAAGACACCGAGCAGATTTAGAACATGTGCTGGCAACGTTTCAAGCAACAGCAAAGATGTTTGGGTCCAGACAAACCTGCCCGTCTGCGGCCTCACATCTGAAGCCGCAGATGTTACAGGTCAGAGAAAGGAAAGGTCATGGAGATTCAAATCATAACACGGGTGTTAATGCAAGCAGGAACAAGGAACAAAGACATTGGGTTCCCTCTTGAAAGAGAAACTCTGGCAGCCTCTAACGCAGCGTGGAGGCACACACAAGAAGAGCGGAGATAGGTGCCTGGTATAAAACACTGCCTTCGGTGCTGCTGCAGTGCTAAACTGCCCCCAGGGAACGGCTCTGAGAACTCCTGAGAAGGTCCTGTGGAGGAAGATGGAGCGAGGGCCTTCAACAGCATGGTCTGGAGATGTTTTCCACCCAGCAGAACTTCACTGTCACGTTTCCCCAGGAGAAACAAAGGGTGCCGTGGTCTCCGTTGTTGCCTTCCTCCCTCTTGCTCCAAGAGGACA